AAAACAATACGGCATTATTTTTACTTGTCTTGCAACTAGAGCAGTTCATTTTAAAAATTGTCCAAATCTGACCAATGATTCACTGATCAATGCAAAAGACCGGTTTACAGCTAGACGGGGAACTCCAAAAATGTTCATGAATGGAAACTCGACAACGAAAAAATGTATGTTGGAGCCTGCAAGGAACTGGAAGACACCCAAAAAATGGTTGAAAACGGAGCCTGCTCTTTCAAACTACAACGGCAAAACATCAAATGGTTTTTCAATCCACCATATGGCCCTAATTTTGGTGGTGCTTGGAAACGATTGATTCAGGTTGCCAAGCAAACAATCTTCATCATTCTTGGATCGAAAAAGCTCTCACTTGACGTTTTTCAGACAATTTTAACCGAAACCGAAATTTTATTGAATTCGAGACCATTGACTACTGTAACGGCCTACCCAAAAAACGACAAGCCATTGACATCAAATCACTTTCTCATTCAACGACCATTCAACAGCCTTCCACCAGGAGTATTCGATGAGAACATGCTGCTGACTTAGAAAAAAGGACCCTTATTTAACAGATGATGAACTACCTGTGGAAGCGGTCGAAGAAGGAGTACCTTACTTCACTGACGAAACGCGCTAAGTGGAATGAAATGCAGTCACCATTGAAGGTTGGGGACATAGTGTGGGTATCAAAGACCTCGCCCCGCGACGTATATGGCCGATTGGACGTTTAGTGGAGGAACATCCAGGAAGTAAGGGCACAACACGATTGGTGATCGTGAGAACGGCTTACGGCACGTTCAACCGCCCCGCTACCGCTCTTGATAAGGTTTTTTGATTTTTTCGCATTATTTTTAGCGCCATTCCAGACGATTCGGGGCCCTGGGAGTATGTTGCCGAGGCAACTACATTTTTGCCAATCTTTGTAAATAAAAAATCACTGTGATCAAACATTTGTAATGTCTCTGATACAAACACTCCAATAAAAAACCAGAACTTAGAAAGTTGGATTTCATTCAAACTAAGATTTCTTTCAAATTTATGATTACTTAGTTTTGATTGTTTGACAAAACTTCCGCGCATGGAGTCCTTCACGCAAGAAATTAGTCTTAGTGTAGCGACCTCCTCAAATCTCCATATCAAGCATGGCAAATCTCTGCAAATATCATGTCCTTTCTGGACCCCAATTTCATAGTTCAAAAGTTTTTTCCTTGTTCCTATTTTGAACTTTTTTGCTTTGTTTGTATAACATTTTTTCACCAAATGCGCACAGGAATTCGAACATTTAAGGAATTAATCATCTTTAAACCGTTGTCTTAAAAAGCTGAAACAATAATTTCATTGACCCAATAAGTTCATTGACACAATAAAATCATTGACACAATAAGTTAATTGACACAATAATTAATTAAAATGTTTATAGGGATCCAATTTTCATTTTTCTCGTATTGGAGCTTTGATCTTTATACTTTCAAAATTCATGAAACGGATTGAAAATTATTGACTTTGACTATTTCTAAAGTTACGAAATATGCTTTCAAAATTCATGGAACGGATTGAAAATGCTTCTTAAATTACGAAGAAAAAATGTACGCTCGTTTGCAAAAATCTATTATGACTGATCTTTCTTCCATAAAATTATCCCACAGGAGACTGAGTCTAAAGGTTTATATTTTCATTTCTCTGTACATTGGTCTAGTTTTAAAACCGAAAGTCACTTGTAATTTGTTTCGCGCCATTTGGCCATTGTTGTTGAAGAGCGTTATGAGAAAATAAATGGCGTTCAATTGAAAATAGAACCCAATCAAAATTTGAACAGCGTTTTCCTAAGAACTACATCAAGAACTAATTAAACAACCTGCTTTCTTTATTGTTTGTTCTGACTTACAAAGAAAGTGACAAAATATTCAAGCTCGTGTGAGTTTACTTTCTTCAGACAAGCAATTTTTTATGAAGTTTTTAAATATTAATCGAAGATATGTTGTACTGAGCTTAAGTTTAAAGACAGTTCACCTGTGATCATTTTTCGTTGAATAATGAAGTTTTGAAGACCGCCAATTTTAGATAATTATAGCTTGACATACTTCGTGGAAATGAGGCTTAAACGGAGATTAAAACTGTCTTAGAAATCGTTCCAAAAAATTGCGGTATCCTATTTGGTATATTTAATACTTTTTTATGCAAAAAAATAACACCTTGTGCTTTACATTCAACATTTTTTAAGGGAACATTTTCCATAGACCTTAAAAAGCAATTGAAACAATCAAGGCTTCACCCTGATACGAGCAGTCTTGTTATACTTAACTTTTAAATATATCAGCCCAAAATCAAATGAGCAATGAAACATCTTGAATTGGAAAACATAGTCAACAATAACTGAAAAAAAAAGTTAATGAGCGCAAGTAAACAAAAAAACTACTGGCTTGTATTTTGAACAAAATTTGAGTTCTCAAGAAAAAAAATAGATGGCATAAAAGCTCTTTAATTTCTAGAACAACTCAAGGTTTATACTTTTTTTTGATAAAATTAAATTTTAGACAGCTGGTTCGATAGGTAAAACTTTTGTATCGCTGAGTAATCTGCTAATCAAATTTTCGAAATTAGAAGTTGATCACGTTTTTCGTGAACTTTACACTTTCTCTATTCAATAGTGGAGTTTGCCTTCCTTTTAACAAAGTAATCGAACTGAACTGAAAAAATCAAAACTCGAAAACGTAAATTTTAGATTGAACAATTTTAAAGCTTTTCCTGAAAAAAAACCGTAAAAAAAGAAATCACCACGAACTTGAAAGAGTCTTAACTACATTCATCGACTCCTAATCAAAATGAAAAGACCTCAAAATTATGAACCACTGTAGTCCGTACGGCGTGTCTAACTTACCCGAAAACAGTTCGCTTCTGCAATCGGAACAATATCAATTCAGACAGTTTGGAAAAATTGTATGGTGCCATTAATAATGATTCAGATAAGCTTTTTATTACAAGGAGGTAGGGCAGCTTTTCACAAACACAAGCGTAGAAAACGCAAAAAAGAGCTCTTAACAGGCAAAACAAGGAAACGATTAAAAATACCGCTTGCGAAAAAAAAGCTAGTGCGATTGGGAGTATCAAGTTTCCAGATCTAATCCACGACTGCCTATAATTTTATTAACACTGGCCACCAATAAAGCAGCTAGTTGCTATCAAATTGCCAGTGCTACGCAGCAAAAAATACGAATAAAAGAAGAAAACTAATTAAGTATTCCGGATTTTAGTGTGCGACCTGTTGATTAGAAGTCACACGTTCTGGCATCTGCGCAACGCTCGCTTGGAACTTAATGTGTAGCCCAACTAATGCTGGATCTACCTGTTTTAATATTTTAAAACATATATTTTACTGATACCGAAATGCTTAAAATTTCAAAAAAATGGACTTCAAGCAAAACCATAGTGATTTCTTTGCTCAAGTAGGGAACAAGCCGCTTACTTAAATGAGAAAACTACTATTTCATAACTCCAAAATCCATATCATCTCCTCTACAAAAAAAAATCGGGTAAAACAGATTGCACATGGAAAACTAAAGCACCATGTTGATTTGAATGAACTATTAAACTCAAAATCAGCAGGTTAGTTTTTGGAAAAAAAATTAAGTTTCTAAATAAAGTGCGAAAACTCAAAAAATGGACATTGTCTAAGGCCTATAATTTTTTCCAAACGCATGGCATAGCTTCTTGTGCGGTGATCATTCGCATTACTAATTGATTTTCGTTTTGTTAAACCCTTAACTTCTGATTTGGCCAGGTAGTTATTGCGAAAAGTCAAAAGTTTTGAAAATTAACAAAATGGCAAAAAATGGCTTGTTTGAGGCCGTAACTTGTTTTCTACCAAATTTAGAGTACAGCCGCCTCGGAAGGAAAGATTCTCATAATGTGTTTTTATTTAGTGGAACCCTCATCTCAGAACTGCTCATTTAATTTTTGACTCAAATTTAAATCACGCTTCGGTCACGGCTGGAGGGGTCCCAGTGTCATCCGCCTCCTCAAGGTGGGACCGGCTGCGGCAAAATGGATGACATCTCCCCCTCCCCCACGGTTGGTCCTGCACTGAGCAGGCCGGGGGCTAATAAAAAAAAAATTAATTTTTGAGAAAAGGAAAAAATTCATAACAAATAGATCAAAAAACTCTACTGAAAATTTTAGGAAATCGTAGATCGTAGGAAAATGACCGTAAATCGTAGGAAAATGAAAAACGACTAGCAAAATATACAGTCACATATAAAATCATTCAGTTTTTCCATTGGTGAACTTTTTTGAAAACTGGTACTCTAGTTAAAAAAAAAAGTAACAAAACCCATACGTTTTTATAATAACTGTTTTTCAAAACGAACCTAACACTGGGCAAAAATAAAGCAGCACCATATGCTTTTAATTTGTTTATGATTAAACATGATTAAATTAAAATATACGAAAAGTGCCTCTGAGCATTTTTATTTGCGACTTAGTTTAGAAAAAATAATTCTTCGTAATAATAGACTAAGCTTAGCTTGTTTAATAAGTTTTGTAATCAAAATATATATCAAACAAGCATACTCATTTGCTGTTCGTGAAGAGAAAATGTTTTTCTCCGGCATCATTCTTAAACATTGACAAACAAAAAAGTTTCATTTTTTCTATTTTTTGTTGGGACGGATATTTTTTTCATTCCGTTGGAAATTCTGAATACTCAAAACCACGGTCAAAACCAGAAACATTTTCACTTTTTTGTGTTTTTACATTTTTTGCTGTTCAATAGAGGAGTTTGCCTTCCTTTTAACAAAGGAAATGAATTGATTTTAAAAAGAAATCAAAAATCAAACCGTGAAAAATTAATTTTGAGACTGCAATTTTAGAGTTTTTCCTTAAAAAAAACAAAGAAAAAAATCATCTGGACTATAAAGGAGTCTGAACTACAACCATCAACTCTCAAATTTTTAATGACACGTTAATTTTTCCCCACTCTTAATCCTTGCTCAAACAAAACGAAATTAAGACATATTTGAAATTAAATTTCGGCTTCATCAAGTAATGATTGTCCACAAAGTTCACCCTTTTCCATAAATACTGGTACAAAATTCGAAGTCAGGGCAAACTTTGTCGCGATAAATTGTCAGTTTTTTAAATTTGTGAGAATTCGAGTTACACTAACACATCGATAACTTCAGATATTAATTTGCACTCCTATACACTAAAAATGAGTTCGATCTATTGCTCAAAAAATATGTGGCTCTGAATCAGCGCAAACCATATGATGGTAGCGTTCACTGCTGAGATCGTGATAGCAGAGCTTCAAATTTTTTGCTACTTCAAAATTGAGCAATAGATCCAAATTTCATGCCGTCACACGTCTTATCATCATCATCTCCGTATAGCCTTAAGCTAGAAAAAAAACCTCAACCATAAATCAGGATAGTTTATTGCGCACAAAATATGACCACGTTCAGTTTTTGATTCTGAAGCATAACTAACAGTCGGAAAAGTGTTAATACGCACAAGGAAGTTGAAAAAAAACTATTGATTTTCCGTTTTCCAGTTTTATAGGAAATATTATATTACCTAACCTTTTGATTTTCACGAACCTTTTATGATGGACGCTATTTTCTTCAAAACCCAATTTGACAAGACTGGATCAAAAGATGTATTTTTTATTTCGTCGGTTAACGATTTTACCGTCATTTAAATTTTTGTTATTAAGAACTTGAACAGAAATTTGAAGTCATAACATCAAAATCTAAAACTGAGCGAGCGCAAACTTTATAATTTTTTGAAAAAAATCAAAAAGGACCAGTAACACTTTTAAAAGTGCAGCGCAAAAAAATACAAAAAAGCACATGTTTGGCGACTTGGTTACATTTTTGGGAAATACATAAAACATTATTGGTGGGTTAAATTTACACACTAATTCATCTCTCAAAAGCTCCGTTACAATATAAAGCAAAAATTGGAGTTTCGATTCACCATTCAAGCTAAGATCAGCAATAGAACCCTCCACGTTTCAGTTTTTGCATTCGAACTCTTTCTTGGGGAGCTCAGCAAATGGTAATTTGAAGTGTAGAGAAATTTCCTTCTTTGTCATATAAAATCACGTCTTAGGAGCAACCGCAATTGACGATGTCCACAAATTGTGTACCGAAATTGCTAGCACTCCGTATCTCTCAATCTCCATATGAGAGTCTTTAATTGGACGAATGCCTTCTCTGGTTTTCCAGTTGACTTAAGCTCGGTTTTTGATCGCTAGCTGGTAGACAGCTTTGCGTAGTATGTTCTGTTCGATTTGCACAGAATCGGTATCATATCGTTCGTTTCTTGTCTGTTGGTTTAGTTGTTTGTTCTGTTGCTGGTTGCTTTGCTTCAGTCCCGCTTGCGTCATACGTGTTACATAACTGTCATGTCTGCCGATGATGTAATCCTGCTCTGTAAGAAATAATCTGCTCACGTTAGGAACTGGCAGTACTCTGAGATCAGCTGAGACTTCTTAGTAAGCTCCCACATCTTCTGACTGTGAGCCAACCTAAAACACAGAGTTAATAACAAAAAATTTCCAAACTAATCGTAGCAGCCGAACAGAATACTGGAAAGGTACAGAAAAACAAGAAAACTAAAAATAAACATAGCCAACTGACATCACTCGATAGACAGCGAACTGGCCTTTTTGGTGTTCTTGCAAGATGGGATTTTTTTATATTGTTTTGATTTAAGTTAAAAAAATCGAGTCTGTTCCTTTCTTGAAAACAAATTTATTATTCAAGTTTAAAAAATAATCGAGTATGTTCCCTCCTTGAAAACAAATCTATTATTTATAATGAAAGAGTAATGAACGCTAAGAAACAGAAAAAATTTCCAACTTTTGAAAAAATATATGCCATGAAAGCTCTTTGAATTTCAAAAAAAATTTTTGACTGGTGTTTTTTTTGATAAACTAACCCAATTAAAGAAAACTGGTTCAATTGATAACTGGTGCAAATGATAACTAGAGAAAAGAGAGAAAAATTAAAAGACTTTTAATTCCTCTGGGAAATCTGAACTTTAAAATTCATTTTCGAAACTAGAAGTCGATCACGTTTTTCATGACCTTTACAATATTTATGCATGTGCTATGTACGTATGTAGTATGTATGTATGTATGCTTGATGTATGTATGTATGTATGTATGTATGTATGTATGTATATATGTATGTATATATGTTATGTATGTATATATTAAGTATGTATGTATGTATGTTTGTATATATGTATCTATGCATGTATGTATGTATGTTTGTATGTATGTATGTATGTATGTATGTATGTATGTATGCATTATGTATGTACGCAAATCAAAATTGAGCGTGCATAAATTGTAAGACATTTTCCTATATAAAAAAATTAAAACATCAACAAGACCTATATAAGTATCTTTGACACGTATGGGTTTTCAATCATTCATAAGTCAATCAGATTTAGACCATCTAACCACGAGGGAAAGAAACAAAATATGATCTGTTCAATTTTGCATTTTTTTAATTTTTTTTAATTAGCCCCCGGTCCTGCTCAATGCAGGACCAACCATGGGGGAGGGTACTGTCTTCCATTTAGCCGCAGCCAGTCCCACCTTGAGGAGGCGGATGACACTGGGACCCCTCCAACCGTGACCGAATGGAAAGCCGCTGTTAAGCGACTGCTTAATGACCAAATTTGTTTCGTTATTTTACTTGGCTCAGAATGGTTGCCACATGCACAAAGCAACGAAGACTGATTATGGAGAGCCTCGAACAACCGACCTTTCAACAGAGGAGCAGACCTTAGCTACTTAACTACCACTGTTCAAGCTCTTATTTATTCTCAGCCACTTACCAATGTTTCTCCGTGTGGTGCACCGATATCTGTGAGTTGGGTACAGTGACCAGTGTGTTGCGCAACCATCTCAAGCTCTCGCCAAATCCCGGTCGTCCTTTGAACCCTATACATAATTGGGACTCAAAATACAAAATTGAAATAAATATTTAATTGTTATTCTTGCGTACGCTTGTTTTTCTTATCTCAATTGTCATTGGTTAATATTTGTCTCTGACTTATTGACGAGTATTAAATACTTTTTTTGACCGCAACCCGCAAAACTAACTTGAAATCTCAATTAGTAGGTCAGACTTCATTGCCAATTTACAGAAAAAAATACGAACTAGAGAGCGTGAAAAAAATACTAACTAAAAAGTACCAATGAACTAATTCGAGACACTTCTTTAGTTAGTATTTTTTTCCACGCTCACTAGTTCGTATTTTTTTTCAGATTTTTGTTGTTGAATCTCTAACAAATCTTCGCCATTTGGAAATAGGTAAGCATACCCGTAGTCTTTTGCTTATCTCTTCGGACCAGCTTGCCCGAGGTTTCCTTCCTACCAGAAACCCTCCAGGAGGAGTTCATGGGAATGCAACACAGGTTCACTCGGTCTAGTTCCATATTGTCATCTTCACTACTGCTACCGACATAGTTAGTATCCTTTTTAAGAACTGGGTCACTGACACCACCTGAAGATAAAAACAATTTTTCGTAGCATCGAACCAGCAAAGTTTGCAACTCATTTTGATAAAAACAAACAGTGCTTTCAAAACCAAACTTAGTTATAAAATACAGCCAACCGACTGTCGCAAAAGTGTTAATAAACTCAAGGAAACAAACCAGAAAAACACTCGTTTTTAAGTTTTTTCACACAAAAAATATGAGCTCAAATCTCCTCTTTGAGCCTTTTATCTTTAGCATTTTCAAAATAAAAAACCAATATGAGAAAACTGATTCAATATATTTTTTCGCTTGGCTGCTAAAATGATCTAAATGAAATGAAAATTCACTTTATTCATTAACTTCAAAAAAGCTTCCTTAGTACAGAAATTCATGAACTGCGATGCCTTACTTGCGAAGTTGAGCTTGGATCCTTTGAGGGTCTCACTGATCATCTTTGCATCATTCAAGAAGTTCTCGCTTTCATTCTTCACAGGCTGAACTTTGTTCACGACGAACACTAGCAAATACATTAACAAAATCATCGACCGAATCATCTAGTTAATTGTCTTCGAAATTAACATCAATCAATCTTTATGTATCAATAACACAGAGGCGAAGTTGCACTTCGCATACACACGCAAAAATATGACCGATAACGCTACTGGGAAAAACGGAATGAGTAAAACTTTGAGTCTTCAAAATTTCTTAAGTGACGCACGCCAATTAGGACGCATTAGCAGTACCAGTCAATTAAAAAAAAATTACCAAATAACATGCCTCAATTTATAGAGCAGTCTATGGAGCAGTAATAAAATGAAAAAATTAAACGTAATGAAAAAAAAATGATTAAATCTCCTCTTACATTATTAGGGCGAAATATATCATGCGTTAATTGTCCCAAATTGGTCAAAATGGAAATTTTACAACCCACATAACTTTACGAAAAACAATCACAGGTAAAATATCTATCCAAATTTAATCTCAGGGCAACAATACTTTTTGAATAAAAAAAATTCCGTCAAAAACGGCTAGTTAAAAAGTCGAAATTTGTCTGAAGAAAAAAACCACCTGAGCACAAATATTCCGTTACTTTCGTTACGAAAGTCGGAACAAAAAAGTCTGTGTTAATAGCCGGACGGCAATTCGTGAACATAGCCAATCGAAGATTCGAAAAGAGTAATGAACGCAAGTAAACAAAAAACACTGGATTTCTTTAAAAAATCGAATTTTCGAATTTCAAAGAAAAAAATAGATGCCCATTAAGTTCTTTGAATTTCTAGAACAATTTATAATTGGCGCTTTTTTGATAACATGAACCCAACTTGAGAAAACTGGATCAATAGGTAAAGTTTTTATTCCGCTGGGAAATCTCAAAAATAAAATTCCACTTTCGAAACTAAAAATCGTTCACGTTTTTTCGCGCCATTTCCACGTTCGTATACAGAGAGTGCAATTTACGTCACTTTCAGCAGATGAATTTATTTGAACTCAAAAAGTGTATTATATCTAAGTGCATCAATATTTTGGACTTTCTGAAAAAAAAATCAGCAAGACCTATATAAGAGCCTTCACTACGTTCATTACTCTAAACAAGCTAAATTCGGAACAAGGCATTCGCAAGTAGTAATCGCTTGCTCCGCTGCGCTTGCATACGGCACGACAGGTTTTGTGTGCGTGAATCAATGCTTGCAGCTTATGTATCTGTTAAGAGTTGTTGCCTATAAACCATTGACGCCTCAGGATAATTGCCGGTTCAAAGAATATTTGTACTAACCGACATTTGGGACGTGGTTGACTGGGGGGAGAGTGTTTCCGTTTCTATCTGTGACTGGAGGGGCTGATGCCTTGAGGACGTCTGCCAACTTCACCAGGCCCACCATCTCCCCGTCGACACCCCACTCACTCACCACCAACACTGTGTGACACACAGACAGCAGGAAACACACCAGTTGGAGACTCTGAACAATCAACAATTACCTGAGATTTTTACCAAATCAAAATTATGTCAACATTTTCCGGCTGTTTTGATATATGGCATGCATGGTTATTCACTAATTTCAAAAACACTTCGTTTTTACACACAACCGCGTGAATCAAAAGCTAACGCACAAAATCTGTTTTTATTTCTCTTGGGTGAAAACGGTAGAGGAGCCAAAATATTCCTCTTTAAATGGCAATTTATCTTACCTTTCCTATAAGGTATCGAATGTAGGATAAGTCTCTTGCAATATAGCCACCTGCCTGCTTCAAAACCATTTTATTGCCCAAAACTTGCTTTTTGTGCGAATGAGTTAACTAAGAGTAAACGCAATTTAAGCAGGGGTGCAATAACGAGAAAAATGGGAAATAAGGTTTTTTGTAATCGCAGCAGTAATTAGTGACTGTTTAGCCTTTTCACTAAAACCTCATTCACTGCTGCATGCAAACCTGCAGCTCATGCCAGTTGTCAGAAAACTTGACATCCGGCGGAGGCATTCGGTCCATTTTATTCATCCAGTCCAAAACAGATCCGCTCAACACCGCCTGGCAATCTAGCAGTATCATCCGGTCATTCGAGACTCGCATCGTCACTCCGTTGGTATCAAATCGCTGCGCCTCTCTGCAATAAAGTGGTTTTACAAACCAGCCAGAGCGAAATGATTACTAACAAGGTCTTTACCGTGCTTTAGATTTGTTTCCAGATGCTGACTTGGTATGCCCAGAGCGGTATCCACTGTGCAACGCTTCTATTAGCGTAGTCTTGCCAACTCCCTGCTTTCCTATGACACCGATCACTAAATGGTTTGTACCTTCCGACGGTAGCTGAAATGACTAATGGTTTACTTTGATGTCCACAAAGAAAAAAATGTTGTGTCGTCAAATCGTGAAAACGACTTTCAAACATGTTGGTTCTCATTTACCTTGAGGTCAGAATCGGTCCACTTGAAGTTAATGTCAATCAACTTCACAGGATGCATATATGTTCGTTCAAGCTTCAGCTTATCCTCAGCAGAGCTCGAAACCTTCTTAGGCTCTGCTGTTGCTAAAGTCCAAAATTGTGCAAAATCAACAAGTGTCAAGGATAAACAAAATAAAAAAGCAGGTCGTTGTATTCATACCAGATTCAGGCTGCTTTTGACCCTGCTCAAGAGGAGGAATAGGCTTCCATTTGGAGTTGTCGCCTTCGCTTTTGATCCCATAACGGCCTGGAGACTGGTGGCCATTCTGCTCTCGTCGCAGCGGGGAAAACTCACTGCGCTTCACCTCCTTTCGTACATTCTAGGAAAAAATGCTTCACAGTATTGAGAAAGAAAAAGGACAATGTAAAAGTAGCATACCTGATGCTGTTTCGGTTCTACATCCAACTTAGCTCTAACGGCAATTGACAAACCAGGAGCTCCAGTACTCTTCAAAATGACATCATTCTATAATGCAAAAATTACCGCTAAAATATTTACTTTTTGAAAAATGCTAAGACGGAAGTCGATATTAGGTTTTTAAACTTCAAAACACAGCCATCAGACATTTGGAAAGCGTGAAAAATAATAAAAATAAATTGTTATCATGCTATTTATCAAGCTTGTTAAATTTTACGATATTGGCAGCAACTATATCCCAGAGTGAAGCCTGAGAGAATGTCCTTAGCAGAATGAATTCATGGAGACAAAAAATGATTGATTTTCTCTGAACTATTTTTCACCTTTTTAGATTCAAAAAGTATATATGCTGAGTAAAATATGAATACAGGGGCGGATATAATGCTGGTATGAGCCCTATCTAGCTTGTGCACGACCGTACCTAAACGGAAGGGCCCCTTTTATAATTTGAAGGAGAGCGCGCATCGAAAAAACGCATTTTTTGGTCAAAACTTTCTAAAAAGAACCCAATAGGAACGGCATTTGGGGATTTTTTACAAACATTTGCCTGCGTTGCAGAAAAAATTGGCAAAATGTGTTCTTAATACTGTTTTGAAAAAGCTCGGGACACCAATTTGGTCAAAAAAAAACAATGGCAATCAAAAATTCTTGAAATTGAATTATTTTTCATGTGATGTATATACAGGGGCGAATCTAGTTTTTTCCCGAGGGATGTCAACAAATTGTTTTTTTTTTAAAATCGACCACCATCCCCCTCGGGAAAAAACTAGATTCGCCCCTGTATATACATCATATGAAAAATAATTCAATTTCAAGAATTTTTGATTGCCATTGTTTTGACATTATACCAATTTAGAAATCTGAAACAAAATGTAATATTTATTCCGCAGCGATATCAAGCTAAACCCAACATTTCAAGTAAAAGATCAATCACATTTTTATGCGCCATTTCAGCTTTTGTTATTCGAGACTACAATTTGCGTTCTAATTGACGAATGGATTTGAACCCAGAAAACAAAAGTCAATTTAAAAAATAAGCTCGAACTATTATAATAAAATTTTCTTTCCATTTAGGATTTGAACAAAAGCCTGATAATGAGCTCGTACTCTCCCTCGAAAAAAAAACTCAAAATATTTAAACCTGTTTTGTTTCAAGAAAAACACTTTAATAAGATATATCAGCCGCCCGACCGATTGCCATAACTATTTGTGCTACTTGATTTTGCGTGGAAAAACTTAATAGAACCCGAATTCAAAATGCGTCATCAGATTGAATGGTCAAAAATAAAACACAGATTTGAAGAGGAGCTTACCAGTACTTGTGATACAACCATTCCAAGATAACTACCAACATAAGAGTAGCATTCCAAGCAAGCGAATAGAGGAGACGGAAAAAACAAAGTCGAAAAAAACCTTGAAAAAAAAAGTTTTTTTTTTTGTGAAAAAATTGAAAAACCAATTTCAGAAAAACATCCCCCTCCCAACCGAGCAAATTATAGCCCCCAAAATTTTAATGGGGTTGTGGTGATATAACTTGTTACTAGTCTGCGGGACTTAAATGGGAACAGCCCATACAAACCTCAAACTCTTTTCCCCTCTCAAAGTCACCATTTAACACTCCTCCTTTCTGGGCAACAAAAGGCCCACCTGGCAGCCCGATATATGGAGCCACGGTTTCGGGTTTAACTGATGCACGCGATCCTGCTTCTGTCCTTTTATCAGTTTTATTTTGTAGAATTGTTATATTTCCTGGTTTGGGATTTGTACTCATAAAACAATATCAGACCATAGAAATTATCTGAAATATTAAATATTGCATCCACGAATGAATTCAGCAATCCTTTGCTATTGACCGATTGAGCTATCGATACCTCTTTCTGATAAAAAAAAATCAATCACAAAATACTACAACATACATTACTAATTTTCAATCCAAATTTGAAACTGGATCTAAATGTCAGATTCGCTCAGTAGAACAAGACGACAGAACTGGACGAAGATTAGAGGCTACGATCGAGCGACTTCGACAGAAAGACGCCTTCCGAGACGTAACGATTGTGCAGTTACCATACTTACTGGCCTTACTTTACGAATCGGGAAGACTGGGTTTTCAGGAACTAACCCTTCTTGGTAGTTATGAAGCTGCCTCTTCAATGGTTAACTCTGGAACTGATTGGTTATTAATAACTTTTAGCTCTCCGGATATACCCTGAATTAAGTTTAACTAACATCTGGTTTCATTTACAGGACATGAGGGGCTAGCAGTCAGGAAAAGGTCGATTCATTCCGATGAAAAGGTATTTTTTTAAACAAAAACAAAAATAACATTAAGAATGGACGTATTACCCCCCGTTTTTAGGAATGACCTCGTGTCTCGGGGTTTTTCATTATTTTTAGGCATATTAACCGTTAATTTCATTCGTTCGGCCGCTAGCCTTTAGACCCTAAAAAACTCGTCGACCCGTTCTTATGAAAGTCTACATTAAATTCGCTTTAGTAGAGACGGTGATGATGAGGTTAATTTTTTTACTTGCCGTTGTTATGTTCTTTCCAGGATTGTTAGAAAGATTCTACAAAAGATACCCCTTTGTCGGTCTATAAGAACATTTAAATTACTTTTCAAATTCAAATATTATACGCACTGAAGTAGTCCCTATCATATAAGTACCTTCACAGAAGTTCGATTTGATTAACGAAACGTTCAAAATCAAACAACGATTAAAGAGTAGTATTTAACTGATTAGGAAGAGTTCTAACTTTTTCTGTTATTCCCGGGGTTTCCCCGTTAGCCTCATAAATATCGCGAAAGATAGCTGGGCAAGATTATAGATCTTCTCAGCTCCGTTCGATTTATACATACTTATCCACGTTTCTATTTAAGGTTGACAACAGTATACGAAAAATTTCTACCGCCTGGCAGGTTGTTTCAGTGTCGTTATCGTTAATTAATGTAACATTCGTCTACTGTAGTCACACATGAGGCTTAAGAAAAATAGGCCCTATAACCATTGGCTCAAGAGTCAGGGACACTATCTCTTGTGTTTTTCTACCTCAAATCAGTCGGAGCCAATTCGGTTCGCTTGTGACATGAGACTACAACCCGTTACAGCTTAAAGGCTACTACCAAAATATCCCCCCACTCTAGAAATAAGAACGTCCCCATACTTAGGTCTCTAGATACCCAAAATACATGAACGCCGTTAAAAACCGGGTCGGAACAATCCGTTAAGTTACTTTTTATTAGACAGTGGAACTTTGATCCATTTCAGATGGATCAACCTAAAACTCGCCTTACCTCAACATAACAATCATAAAACACACTCTAGAAATTTAAATTGGGTACTCACATCGTAGCACGCTCAAGAACTGGGAGTAATTAAGTTAGTAAGCAACTCGAGAATTAAATAATATAACTAAATGAGTTTAATGTTTATCAGTTTCAATAACAGGAACAAGTTTGAACTCTAGAGTATAGTTTCTCGTGAACCATTGGGACACTCAAGCTGTCCACCTTTCCATCGAAGGTTCACTCTAGTCCAGTTTGAATAATAATCCAGTCGAGCAATAATAGTCCAGTTCTCGGGAATACGCTTCCTTCTGTTTCAGATAGGACAGCTCTACTCTAGTTTTATTGTGACGGAAATTGCGAATGGCAATTTCCTACTGCTTTATGTGGCAACTTTCCCGCGATTGTTACTCGATCGTTTTGATTTCTCTTTTTCGGTTTTCAGTTATCGCGAGAAAATCGTGCATGACAGGCTCCATTCGAATTTTTGAAAAATCAAATTTCACTCCAAAATTAAGCGTTCTTGTTTTCCCAAGGTCAAACTTCCAAATATGACCGTCTGGCACATACTACCCGGACTCAAGATCGATGTCCTCATCGCGTGCTGTCGTCTGCCAGTGAGTCCCATAAAACCGAGTATTGCTCAAGGTACAGTGCCAGTGGTCATTTACAGAAGTTTGCAGCAGACTTAAGCTTATCTACACCCCAAAATTCACGGCCATGTAAAATTTTCACACTATCGCAAAACAGCAATCAAAATCCGCACACACCTGCACCCTTGAATTCTCGCTTTTCAAGCCGATTATTTAAAATTTCTTTTGTCCCATTCAATCAGGAAATTGTCATGCAGCATTTTGATTTATATAGTAAATATAACATATTAATAACAATATCTGATTCGTTAAAATTTCTTTTTCGTGAACCCAGGTTTCATCCGGATTCACACTCAAGCCCCCCTTCCCTCTCAAGACTCAAGATCTCTTCGAACCATCCGCTCATTTCGCACTCTTCGCCTTGGAGGTGCCGTACCCTGAAGTACTCAACAGTTCTTCTTCATCATCGGAGCTAATCACGATCTCCTCCCAAGCCTTCAGCTGTTCATAGGATCGCAACCATTCCTTTTGCTCCTGCAACCTCTTTGCCTGGTTGGGTAGTGCCTTCACCCTAGATTCCTGGTTCAAACAAAAGGAGTTGTGCAGGCTCAGGCTCACGTTCTTCGCCAAGTCCTCCTCTAGTATCGATTCCCTCGCTTTGGTATTGTCTCTAGACATTTTACCCACTCTTTTCCATCCTGTCGTGATCGCATTTCGATGGGTTAACAGGGGTCTCTTGAAAGCTTCCGGCCCAATCTCGGCCTGGAACTGTCGATACTCCTTTTGATGCTTTCTCATGTGATCTTTCGTTGTCATGTATAACCAAGACGTCAGTGTCGCTCGAAACCATGGAAAGCACCTCAAGCGGCTCCATACGTGTCTGACTTCCATTGGTATGGCGAATACTTTGCATGCAGTCTCAAACAACTCGAGTCTCCTGCTGTAGTCTATCGCATATATTGACTCAGCCGTTGGCGTCTTCGCTTCCCGATACTTCGTTATATTCTCTTCTATCCATCTCAGAGCCAGCATCGTACTCACTACTAAGAGCGTCACCTTCTGCCTGTGATCCGGTAATCCGATCGACCGAATTTCTTCCATATCCCACACCAGGCAGAGGTTCTTGTGATCTGGATACCACACCGTTTGTGCCAAACAGTGGCATGGGCATTCTCCATGGGTGATCTCAATGCTCCTGAGGTTACGCTCCCCCGAGGCTTCCAAGAGAGGCTCAAGCTCCATCATTTTCTCATGCATCGTGTCGTTCTCTCCCATGTTTGGAGTACCCCCCACAGGTTTTCCGATCACGTTTTGTCTCTCGTGATCGCTTGTGTTCTCACTTTCCAATTTCAAAAGCTCTTCTCCCCAGATTTCACTCAAGTCATCTCTCAACTCTTTCGGTACGGTCCCTCTGATTTTCCTCAACAACTTGTGCGAGTGATGCGATACCCGAGCCAACCTCACGCACTTGGGCACTGAGAAGGCCTTGTCCACCAATATTCTCTGGCTGGATGCTTCCACCATCGCCATGTGCAGTGGGTAGTGGCTTCCGCAAAAATTGGCCATCATTGACCCTATCAGGGATTTTGCGTTCAATGGCAGGCCATAAGCTTCGCTCATGGGAAACCCCATTTCCGCCTCGAGACCAACCTTCCAGCTCCGGATATGTTTTTGAGTCACCTGCAACACCCCAGGCCATGATTCCACGCTCAACGCAGTCGCTAAATGGTGTTCAGACTCTAGCCTCTCCAGTGACTGCAGACTACACATTCTCGAGAAGAATCCGAGAGCTGTCGCTATGTTCACCGTAGTTCTCGCGTAACACTCCGCCACTATTTGTACTTCACTTTTCTCCCTTTCCCTGATGTCTTCAAACCAAGTAACCAGATCTTCTTTTTGAAAGGACAGTATCCTGACACATGATCGTCCATCGCAGGTGTGCTCTCCACTCCCACACGTAGAATCCAGACAGCTACCCTGCTCCATCTTCTTTGCTGACTCGAGATTGTTCGTCTTTTCGCCTGACTCCTTCATCTGAGGTAAGATCAGTTTGTGCACCACACTCAACTTTGCCAAATCTTCATCTTCCGTTGGTGCTAATCTCACCCGCTCGGTGGTCTCCTCGATCAGACTCGCGTGGGGATGTGGGCACCAGGAGGGTCTTAGTAACTTCCATACCACTTCCAAGTTCGTGATCAACAAGCCATTGCCATCACCCATGTTCACTTCAACTCTCTTGTTCGAGCGCGGTATGCTCACCACCTCCGGTGTTTTCTCAAGAATCAGGCCCAGGCTCGGCCTCTCTTTCTCCACCGCGTCTATTTCCACTATTTTTTCTGTCCAAAACTTCAGCAGCTCCGCTACCTCGTGGTTCCTGTGAGCGCCTCCAGTTTCTGAGTCTAAGAAGGGGTTGTAGGCTATCCCCATCACTCCCGACACGTATTGGTATTCCCCCTTCTCACTGAGTCTCGAGTACTGCTCTGGCGAGGCCAGGTTACGGTGAACATCATGTTCTTCTTCGAACTTCTTATTGTAAAACCTCCGTACCTCGTCCAGCTTTCTGTGGTTCTCTAGGGTAGTCTGGAACCATCTTCCTTTTCTATTCCAGTACTCTGATATACGTTTAAGATGATCGTTGAGACTCTCTTTTCCACGGTTCTACTTCCGCTTGCTCTTTGGTAGCACGCCAAGATGGTGCTATCAGACATCATTGACATTATCCATCTCAAGAAACATGTGGCATCCTTCCTCCTAGCCAGGCTCAAGCCTGAATTATCCCTGGCCACGTGCTGCATCAGTGCTTGATACACTTCTAGCTTCTTGCTTCCCAACTTCAACCTGTCATACGAGGTCAGTGTCTCCAACTCTATTCCCACCAGACTCCAGGTGAACATCAATTGTCCTGCGGTTCTAAC